ACGCACACACATACACACACACAGATAATATACACAAGGAAATGTATGTAGAAAATGATTACCTTTTGGTTTAGATTATCGATAAAGGATTGTCCCATTGCCGGTTGTGAAGATACGAGACGTAAATTCTCCATGTGGCGTCGAGTCGTCTCCAGCTCTTTTGGCAGCTTCTCTACCACCATGTAATGGTTCACTTTAGTCTCTTCATCCATGCGTTGCAGGAGAACTTTGTAAAAATAAAAAAAGGAGACCTGACATAAAGGCGAAAAAAGTTTGCTTCCATTTCCTGAAACCCATTGTGTTTGCTCCCCTTTAGGTAGTAAGTAATACATTTCGCTGATAACTCAAGCCCTCCAAAAAATATCTCAAAAATTCTTCAACACTTGTTTACCAAACGAATATATACGAAGAGTAACTGAGTTTTGATGGATCTCGTAAGATAACATTGTTGGGGAGACATTCATTTCATATAAAAGTGCATGAAGAAGAGATTCAATGATCGATCTCACCAGAAGACTACGGCTGATTCCCGTTGTACTACAGCCGTTTGGCTTTAATACGACACGCACACTCAGGTAAAGGTATCATGACCAATATGAAAGATAATTAGCCAAACCATTCTCCATCCAACTATGCCTATTCATTTTCGTTTGTTAGTTATGAGTATATATAAGAGGCAAGATCGAGATAGATAATATCGCTGACCTAGTGGTAACTTAAGGCTTTCACAATAATTAATTCCAGCTTTGATGATTTCGATCATATTATGGACGAAATCTCATGCCTTTTTCACCCGAAATGAGGAAGGATGTTTCGTAAACTGTTAACCTGAACGTCGTATTAAAGTCAAACTGCAGCAGTAAAATACGAGTCAACCATCGTCTTCTAATAAGATCGACCTTTGAATCTCTTTGCATGCACTTTCATTTAAAATGAAATTCTCCCAAAAAATTTCCAAACTTAGCCAAGTAAGCAGTGACTTCGGAGAGAAGGCCCTGTAAGTACATCTTCACCATTTCAGTCATCGTATCTACAAATCACTTTACTGACGGATTTGTACTCCACACTGAAGGATAACTCGCCCCAATAAAAGGTTCACTTTGTCTATACTGGTATCCCTAAGTCGCAGTGGTCGTCAATCAGGCTCATGAACAAGATGCCAAAATAACTACAATCCCCTAGCGGCTTGGGCTGGCTAATATTATGTAGGTATTTGCCATCTCAAGCCAAATTCGAGTACAACAAAGAAATAAAATGTATTCTCTAAATCAAATCAGGCTCCATTGAGTTTAAATCAACCGTTCTATCGTCAGAATTAAATTAATTCAGACTATGTTCGCCACTCTTTCAGCCTGGCATTCTGAAATTTTTCTTCTGCCATAAAGAAACAAAAAGATTTCCCCCTTAAACAATTTTAGTAATTTGGGGGTTACATCAAGAAAAAGCCAAACTGAAGAATTTGAAATTCTGCTTCACTCTTTGGCATTTGAATCTCCTATCTACTACAAAGGTGTCACCATTATATGGAGCCTATTATGACCGACAATTTTGAATTGGTATCAGTAGAATCTCTTTGTAATAATGACTCATCCTAACTCCTACACTCTATTACTCGTTTTGAGCAGGATTTTAAGTAACCTTGCTTCCCAAAGAGTATTATCATCCAGGATGAACTGGAAAACAGTTTAAACCTGCTCTCCTCCGCCCCAGCGGGAATTTGAATCCAGGTAGTGCAGCTTACAATTTTGACATGATACCATTACTTATATTCATAGTAAGAAGGTTTCGAGGATATCAGCATATCTTGAATAAGCGTTTTACTCCAAGAGTTTTAGTCACCCTAGGTCGCATAAGAGGATGAATGACTGATAGTTAAAGTTCCCCACGATCAGATAAGTATGATTCAGGATGCTATTAAAGTTCAATAGGTCCCGCTTCCCAGAAGATTTGCTCATCCAGATTCTTAACTGTAGTCCAGTTCAGCATAAATAAAAATACCTCAGGATCTGTTTAGCAACGTTGTTTTGTCCTCTTGCAAAAAGACCACTCATAAAAACCTCTCTTTCTCTCTGGCTGATACATTCCGACTGTCGGTCAATTATATTATTGAAGTTGTTTGACCTGGCTTTCGCAACTTAGTCATATTGATAAAAAGACTTAGAGGAACGCACCTTGTCCGTAGTCTATTGTATGCATCATCATTTCCAGAGTAGGACCGTGGACGTGGTACATCCCCAGACATGTCGCCGGCATCGTCAGTGAGTTTTGCCATTCTTAGCACCACAAT